TTAGATAACCAAGAAATAAAAGGTAGAAAACAACTAGAAATATAACAATCATATCAATTTTAGTTACTATTTACTAAGGTCTGTAGATGAGGCCATTTTTCCTTCAATCATAATTTGAATAAAACAAGTACAATCTGATCAATATTTCTGTATGAATCTTAGGAAATAAAATTATATATCTGTAATATCAAACTTTTTAAATCCTATATGGAAATATTTCTGGCATTTTTCTAACTGTATCAGGATCTAAATGAATCACACTGCAACGAAAAAATAAATGCCTCAAATTAATTTCCATATCAAAGTTTACTGAGTAGTAATTTATACTAATACTTCTCAAACAGTGAAGTAATTACTTTAATTTAGTTGTTAAATCAACCTAACAAACAAGAAGAAAAATTTTTTCCAGTAAACATGATTTTAAAAATCACTCACTCTTCCCACAAATGATCATATAGAAATTAATATAAATAAAACTTGTAAACACTTCTAGTCTCAGAGCATAAGCTGTAATTTATTAATTTAAGGGGAAGGTATAATCTATAAATCAAAATGTTAAAACATCAAAGTCTTGAACGGGGGCTGGCACATATATGCTATTCAAATACGTCATGTAAATTCAATCTAATCAATCAGTCATAAAGAAACAAATAAATGAGCAAATCTCAGCATCTCAACACATAGGCTTTTCTTTCATGAAAGCATAAATTAATAACATGAAACTTGACTACTTCAAGATAGAAAGAACAACTCAAATGTTTTCTTAAAAAAAATCTGAATTCTTCAGCAGCCTACTACTAACCATAAAAAAAAGAAACATATAACATGTATACAAGATAGGATTAGAAATCAATGATGAGAGGTAGTGGATCTTAAAGAGGTAACTTAAATAATACTAATCCTAAATCGTTAAAGATTTAATTATGTTCATATATACTAAAGCAAAAATAATATTACTAAAACAGCAAATAATTTCAAATGGAGTTGTAAGAAAAGAGATAGTCATTATCACAGACATTCATAAACCTTTTTTAATCAAGAGTTAATAATGTTTTTTATATTATTCAAGTCAAGAAATGCATATATACCATCACTTTGGACAAAAACAGGATTCTTTTTGTAATGAAAATACTCAATGGTCATTAAGAGTAAATACTCTTAACACTTACCTGTATTTTAATAGGCCAGGAAAAGTTGCTGACATACACATAGAATGTAATGTTAGGATTGCTTCTGAAGTTAAATTTTTCATAGGAAAAACTGTCTCTGTATTCCTTTATATTAGTCTTGGAAATTATAGGAATCTCCTCCCCAGATATTGTTCCAGCTAAAATGTAAACAATAATGACAAATTTAAGTAATTCATATTAGGAAACATATCTTTATGAACTTAAAAATACTACATTTAGCTTAGTTTTTTTATAATTGCTCTTATAAAAATATAATTATCAAAATATACTCATGTTTACAATTTTAAATAAAAAATAAATAAAATAAGTTTGCCATAAATATAATGGAAAGAGATTTAGCATAAAATTATTTTTAATAATACTACAACTGATTAAGTGCTGTGTACTAGGTACTGGCTTAGAGACTTTATATTCTTTTTATAATAATACAATTCTATCCCAGAGGTGTTACCATGTCTACTTTTCAAATTAGAACCTGAGCCTCAGAAAGATTAAAGCACTTGCCCCAAGTTTTTAGTCACTAAGCAGTAAACTCCTTTGAACTCAAGCATATATGGCCCTGGAAACTGAGCTCTTTCTACTTACCACTTCACAGAACATCTAAAAACAAATCAGATCTTATTTTCATGTGTCTCAATCCAATTAAAAGATGAAAAAGAAATAAATGTATTTGTCTTACCACAAATTGAACCATTACTACTTTCAATAAATTGGGTGGAGGTTATAATTTAAAACATGAACTAAATGCTCAATTAGTTAAACACATATTGGGCACTCAATAAATATTTAATGAAGTTGAGCAAAGCATTTCCAACAATCTTCCAAGACCTCCACTTTAATAAACAGTAAAAATAATTAGAATTAGTATACTGAGCCTGGGAGGGGTGGCTCACGCCTGTAAACCTGGCACTCTGGGAGGCTGAGGCAGGAGGATCACTGAATGTCAGGAGATCAAGACCAGCCTGAGCAAGAGCGAGACCCAGTCTCTACTAAAAACAGAAACAATTAGCCGGGTGTGGTGGTGTGCAGCTGTAGTCCCAGCTACTCCGGAGGCTGAGGCAGGAGGATTGCTTGAGCCCAGGAGTTTGAGGTTGCTGTGAGCTAAGCTGACCCACAGCACTCTAGCCTGGGCAACAGAATGAGTTTCTGTCTCAAAAAAACAGAAAAGAAACAAACAAACAAACAAAAAGACATCCTGAGTATTAAAAAAAAAAAAAAAGACCCTGA